TTGCTAACGTCTTTCCTTTTTTCCCTGTGACAGTTTTATGTTTTGGGGGGTCTATTTAACAATTATTCCACGAGGGCGCGTTGGATATGAGATGATAGATAGCCAACGAGGCGCGTAGCGCCAAGTTGGCTATTATCATCTCATATCCAACAAGCGCGAGTGGAATAATTGTTTTATTAAAAACGCCCACAAAATCTCGTTGAATCTCCCCAACTAGAACAAAGCGGAGAAGACAGGGGACTTCCGCTATTCACATGTCACACGTCTATCAAAACTGTCAACGCGCGAACGGACTCGCCTGGACTGCATGAATGAAAAATCAAAACATTGTAGCGATGAACATTAGTTTTTTAAAAACTCATCGGGATTCTAGGATTTTACACGACCTGGCAGATAATGTGAAGGAAAAGAATTTTTAAGTGACAGCCGTCGAAATTACTGTGAATTTGGATTTTTGGAGCAGTTATGAAAGTAAGAACAACGGAGAAAAACTATTACCTCGGTGAAGTTGTTTGAAGCCACAAGCTGGTTTTGCTGAACGAGGAAAGAAGCTATACTGCCGCCTCGATTGTTGTAGTGAATGGCTGCACAGCCTGTATTTGTAGCTGGTTACTTGCAATTTATATTCTTGACGTCGGAGTTATCTATCGGCGAGTGACTCAATCGGCGAATGGCTTCGCGATCATGAAGAAACACTCCCGCAATTGTCTTCTTTCGCAGCTGGTCAGTGACCCGTAAAAAATCCTATGACTTTCATGGTGGAATTCGATTTCAATCGAGTTTTACAATCAGATCGGAACTTGAAGATAAAAACTTTCTCAAAATAGACATTATCTGTTTAGATGACAGTTTAAAGTATCGGATTATGGCGATTAAAACAAATGAAAACTTCATCCCGTTCTCCAACAGCGTGACTTTCAGAAAGCCTCGAGGGACGGACTTGGTAACCGCTACTGAATTGATACCAGGCTTCTGTCGTTCAAAGTCAAATGTCCCGACCCCGGTGTCGCTTCGCACGATCAAAAGCCGGACAGGGGGAATAGTCTCAGGCATCACATCTCCTCCCCTTGC